ATAGCTTTTACTCAGAATCACCTGTTTTTAAAACACTTTTGTCCTATTTGTTTTTATCATTTATTCTACTTCTATATTTTACTTTCTGCATTTTATTATAAAATAAAATGCTTTGGGAGTAAGGTATCATCCTTACTTCCTTAAAAGTAGGATATGGTTCAATGTGCATTTCCTAAAAATATTTTCTTGTATGGCCATAATACAGTTGTCAGCTCCAGTAAACTTAGCTTTGTTAAAAATACTTTTTTTCTTTCTCTACCATCTGTATTTTAGTTTTGTCAATTAAGCCAATCATATGCTTGTAGTAATCTTTCCCATTGGTATGGAATTCAATCTAGGATCAGGCCCTGGAAAAGTCAAGTCTTTAACTGGTGTGTGTTTAAAAGCTCTCCAGGGGATTTTAATGTGCATCTTGGACCTTGGATCACTGTGTAAATGAGTGCTCACTAGGTACAAAGTATTGTGAATAAAATTAAGGAGTTTATTACTTTAAGGGACATACTATACACAAATCAACTATAATATCAGAGGGATAAGTATCACAAAATAAATCCAAAGCTGGTGAGAAGAAACTTTATTTCAATTTAACAAGCTTACAGAACCCCTCCTATGTGCCAAGCATTGTGCAAACTGCTGAAGAAAAAGATGAATAAGAAAAAGTAATTACTACCGATTAACAATTAAGTATTACGTTATTCCTCACAAAAGTGAGATTTTTTTCAAAGGTTTTTTTTTTAGAGATAGTGGGACTTATAAGCAAGAGTCAACTTTTAGAGGTGACATTTCAGGAAAAGAAACATGAAGAGGACAAATAGATGACTTTTTAGTGGAGTAAGGAAGAATTGTCTTTCACTGTGATTTGAGAATTGGGTGCATGGGGATGTACTAGAAGATTGTATTGAAGAAGTAGGCTGGAGAATGTAAGATAGTGCAAAATAATTTGGCAATGTCTTGAAAAATTAGACACAAATTTACCATACAACCTAACAATTACACTCCTAGGTACCCAAGAGCACACCCAGCATTATTCATAATAGACAAAAAGTGGGAACCCAACTGTCCATCAACTTGTGAATGGATAAACAAAAGATGGTATGCCTACACAGGCAATAAATAGACGAACAGTAAGAAGGAATGAATTAATGTGCTACAATATGGTTGAACCTCAAAAACAGCAAGCTAAGATTTAGCATCTAAATGAAAAAAATCAGATGGAAAGGATCCTATAACATACGATTTCATGTATATAAAATGTCTAGAAAAGGCAAGGTTGAAGAAGCAGGAAGCAGATTAATGGAAACAGGGACTGTCTACAAATAGGCATTAGAGAGGATATCCTGTCCTCTGGAAATGTCCTAAAACTGATTATAGTTATGGCTCAGTGACTCTGTAAATTTACCAAGAACTATTGAATTGCACAGTTAAAACAGGTGGATTTTATGGTATGTAAATTATATCACAATAAGGGTGTACAAATCAATAAGAATTATTCATCAAAATCAGGCAGAAAGGACATAGGAGTAGCAATCTTAGAAATGAAAAATGTAATTGCTGAACTCACTAATAATTTTCCAGAATTCAAGAAAGCACATGAGTCCTCAACAGAAAGCACACTCCTACTTTTGCAGAGGTTAAAGATAAATTAACACCAGGATAGTTTTAGTGAAACTGCTGAACAGTAAAGATAAAAAAATTCTGAAATGTTACCAAGGACAAAATGCAGATTATCTACAAAGGAATGAAAATAAGATTGGTAGTTGAATTTTTAACCAGCAACATTTAGTATTAGAAGGTAATGGAGTATTATCATCAATGTACTATGGAAGAATAACTGTTCATTGGAATTTTATACCCAAATAAATTATCATACAACAGTGAGAGTAAAATAAAGACATTTTCAAATATACAACGAATTCACTCCTCCACCAAGACACCAACAGAAAAAAAATATTTAAGGATAACTTCAACCAAAAGAAAATTGAACCCAAAGGGAAAATTTGGATTCATGAAAAAAAAATGAGAGAAAAATTGATAAAATGTCAGTAAAGTCAAATAACTTTTAATTTTATATATATATAAAATTAATTAAAAAAATATTTTTTTGAGCTGGGGGTCTCCCTCTGTCACCTAGGCTAGAGTGCAGTGGCACGATCATGACTCACTGTAGCCTTGATCTCCTGGGCTTAGGAGATACTTCTGCCTCAACTTCCTAAGTAGCTTGGACTACAGGTGTGAGCCACCATGTCTGGAAAATTTATTTTTATTTTTGTTAGAGATGAGGTCTTGCCATGTTGCCTGGGCTGGTCTCGAACTCCTGGGCTCAAGCAATCTTACCACCTTCACCTCCCAAAGTGCTGGAATTACAGGTGTGAGCCACTGTGCCTGGTCTATAAAAACTATTATTTAGTTTAAAAAGTAAAAATAGCACTCTAGGCAGCAGTGAAAAGATGGGAAAGAAGGAGCTGTTAAATGGACAACGTGTGCAAAGATCTTTTATGAGAAAAGAACCAACTACGTGGTTACTTTGTTAGAAAAAAATTATAGTCCAGTATATGTTGAAAAATAAGACAGTTCCAAAAAGAATAGAAATAAAACCTAAAGCTCTGAAACTAGCAGTGGATTATAGATCACTTTACTAATCCAAGAGAAAACAGTAATGGAGGAAAAAGAAGCAAGGAGAAAGAGTGGCAAATGAAAAACACAGGATTCAATGAAAGAATAAGCCCAAATATATTAGTCATCACAATAAATGCCCATGAATTAAGTTCACCATGAATTAAATTCACCAATCAGAGACACAGCTAAAATAAAACCTATAGGAAGGTATGCAAATATGTGACATACAAATAAGTAGCCAAAAGAAGGGTGGCATAGCAATAACAAAAATTTCTAATATAAGCAATCAGCCTGCAAAATTATTAGAACAGCACCACCTAATTTCTAATGCAGAATAGACTTTTTTTTGAGTCGGAGTCTCACTCTGTCATCCAGGTTGGAGTGCAGTGGCATGCTCACGGCCACTGCAACCTCGACCTACTGGAGTCAGGTGATCCTTCCGCCTCAGCCTTCCAAGTAGCTGGAACTACAGGCACGCACCACCAGCCTCAGCCTTCCAAGTAGCTGGAACTACAGGCACGCACCACCACACCCGGCTAATTTTTTGATTTATTGTAGAGATGGGGTCTCGCCGAATTGCCCAGGCTGGTCTCGAACCCATGGGCTCAGGCGATCCTCTCCCCTCAGCTTCCCAAAGTGCTGGGATTAGAGGCAGGAGCCACTGCGACCGGCCATGCAGGATATACTTTAAGAAACACTGCCTACTGTGTGCCAGGAATCATGTGCGCCTTCTATACTGCTGTGTCTTCAGTGCTTGTCACATAATAGGTGTGCCATAAATATTAATGAGAAGCATGATTACCATAGTATATGGACATGATTTAATTACGTGTTTGTCATACCACAAGGGTATAGGCCATGTCCTACTAATTTTTATGCCATCAATATTCAGCACAGTGCCTGGCACATAGTAGGTACTCCATAAATTCACACTGAATTCAAGGATTATCTCGTCCATAAAACGTTTCTGCCCATAGGGATATATTCTTTATTTCTACTTCTACAGCACCCATCATTTGAAATACCCAACTTAGCCTTCTCTCAATATTCCAAACCTTGTTTCTCCAAAAATATTTTAGATTCTTTGAAGATAGAGAAGGTGCTTTATACTGTGCTAAATGTCCTTCCAGCTACTTGACTAAATACATTTTTTAATTGGTATCCTTATTTAGGTGAATGTTGATTAGATCAATAGTGCCAGCTGTACATGCCAAGGTTTCTAAGTGGTTATGCCCATTCCCTGTTTGCAGCTCTTGATCAGAGAGATCACTGTTTGGAGACTGGCTCACATGCAAGGAATGTGGAGAGGCTAATAGGAGGGGTGAAAGGAGGCAGCTAGTGCTCAATCCCAAGCCCCTGTGTTTTATTCCTCCAAGCAAATAGTGAGTTAGGAAAATGTCCACGATCCCATTAAAAAGTGGGTGTGGGAAGTGACAGGGAGATAGTGAGGAAAGACAGCATGTTCCATACACTATTGGACAGACCTAGCCCTTCCACTGCAGGCATGGTTCGGGAATTTATGATGAGACCAAAAGGAAACCCCAAGGCAAACAGCTAAATTCATCCACTTGGAATCTTGGATGGAAGACAGGGAGGGATGTGGCTCTCCATCTAGAAAAGGCACACGAGGGGAATCTATGGCAAGGACTTCCTAATTGGGACGCTGCAGAGGGTTAACAAAGAGAGCTGGTGGCATCTTCTTGCTGGCCCTCTTGAAAAGGACACACAGTCTAGGGAGGTTCAATCAGGGACCAGGGATGAGGCAGGGAAATGGGCTGGCTGACCTCCCAAGGTCCCTCCTAATCTCATAATTACATGGTGGATCCTGCTCTTCCCCATTTACGCTCCTACACACGTCTGCACCCGGTTTGATAGTAAGTCCCCTGGGCTGCCTTCCAGGTTTAGTATGGTGCCACGCAAGCTGCTGGCACTCCACAAATGACTCAAATATTTGTTGAATGAAGAAAAACATGGATCAAGTGTTTAATTAGAGCCCACATGACCTCTCCTGCTGTAAAGTACGGCAGTTGAATGAAATAACAACATTCTAAGCACGACCACTTTAGCCAAACAGGGAAAGGAAAACACACAAACGCACTCAATTCACATTTCCACCTGGGAGAGCACAGACCACCTGCTCAGCAAGCAGGTTGTGGGAGTTTCCTTGGGAAGGATCCTCTTTCTCTGCCGCTGTAGAAGGGTGTCTCCAGAAGGTCGTCACCCAGATTTAGGACGGCTTCCCTTCCTGGCTGGCTGGCCTCCGAGACAAAGTTTCTGTCCGGATTCGGCTCAGGCCTCCTGGCGGGGGGGCTCGTCCGCAACTCCCGACCCGGCTCGGGGCGCCCCCGGCGCGCAGCTAGCCAGTCCGCTGCGCCCCACCTTACCTTGGTGAGCTGAGCGATCTTCTTGCACATTTTCACGTGCATCTCGGGATCACAGTCCGCCCTCCAGCCCGCACCACCGCGGGCTTCGGCTTTGGAGCCTGGGCAGGTCCCGGGCGGGTGAATTTTGCTGTTGAGAGCAGAAGCCATCGCGGAAACGCGCCCGGCACTCAAGGCTCTGGCTCGAGTTCTCCCCGCCCGCCGTGTGCACGT